CACCTAAACAGATTAAATTAAACTTATAAGTATTAGAATTGTGAGCTCTCAGCTTTATACCAGCTTTCACTGAGCGGACAGTCTGTTTTAATAACAGAACGGAATCTTAACTAATGCTGGATTGTATAGTCGTGTGTGCAGTAGATGTTTCTTTCAGGCTGTTGTGTGATTGTAACTGATGTTTGAAATGAGTTACTGGTCATTGAACTACTAATCCTGTCACGCTTACGTTAATAAGTAAACTTTAGCTACCTTCTAATTAATATTCATAAGCTTCCTCTATTGTAGTAACCGTTGATTCGCCTGTTTACAAGCGCCCACCTTCCGCTCGGCTTTTCAGCCAATCAGTGACACCTATTTGACGAACGTCAGATTACATAATGGTTTAGGAGCCAGGGGTTATTTAGGTTTATAAAACTATAAGTACACATGCTTTATTTTGATAATTATTCATAATATTTTTAATTTGTTTACCACAGATTGAGTTAGCTGTGATGAACAAATTTTGAGTTAGCTGTGATGAACAAATTTTAGACTAATTTGAATTGATTTACTGTATGCTGTACAATTTAAAATATTATTTGGACTTTTTTTAATAAAAAATAAATAAATACAAATTAAATAAATTAATTAATAATACAAATTTAAATTTAGTTCATAATCTTGTGCTTTACTATTGAATGTAGCATGTTTATTTTGTTTTGTTGTTGTTGTTGTTAACTTATTTTAATATATTACTAATTTATTTATTTAAATTTAAAATTAGTTATTTTTGCGTTTATTGTATTACAGTTTAATTACTTATCACTGTTTGTTTTTGTTTACAACTTTTTTGTCTAACTGTATTTATTTTGATAATTTATCTGATTATGTTTATATTTTAATATGCTTATATATATATATGTTTATTTATTTATTATCAATATATAATCTGTTGTAAACCCTGGCTGGTGCAACAGGTTTTGTCCTGTTGGTTTGAAGCTGTTTTCAGTGACTGTTCACTAAACCATCCTGAATCAATTCACAGTTACACAAGCGTAAATGATTCAGTTCACATTCACACAACTGTTTTGTTTCAGTTCACTTACAAAGCTTTTCTTATTTGGTTCACATTCACACAACTGTTTCGAATCAGTTCATATTCACACAGCCATTCTGAACCAGTTCATATTCACATGGCAATTCTGAATCAGTTCACATTCACACAACTGGTTTGAATCGGTTTACATTCACACAGGTTTTGTCCTGTTGGTTTGAAGAGGTTTTCAGTGACTGAGTCCCGTTTATCTGGAGCTGCAGACAGTGTGTGCGTGAATATGTGTATGCGTGTGTGCTGATGTGGAGCCTGTTTGTCCCCTGTCAGGTGTAAATCAGGGCCCGTCTCTCTCTGGGAGCCGTACTGGAGTATCAGCTCTTCTGTGTGCACAAAACACTGCTTTATGGACTCCACTGTTAGGTACGAGATACAGAGTCAGGCTGTAGAGCTAGAGCTGTGTGTGTGTGTGTTGCAGAACACTCACATCTGTTCGAGATGTCTGGATTAGGGTTGGGCGATATGACAAAAATCTCATCTCATATTACGATAGAGTCACCTCATATCCTGATAATAACCATATATATATATAATTTGTTAATGTAATGTGTGCATGTGTTTGTGTTTGTGTGTGCAGGTCTGAGCCGCAGCGTCTGCAGCCGGTGCAGTTGGCCGTGGTGGCGTGCGGATCCAGACTGCAGGAGACTCTCACCATGATCAAATCCGCCGTCATCTTCAGCCGCAGTGAACTGCACTTCCACATCTTCGCTGAGGAGGATCTGCATGCTGGATTCAGAGACACGGTCAGGGTTCACACTCGCTGAGCTTATCTATCTTCAGCATGTAGAACACAAAGGTGGACATTTGAAGGCAACATGATCTGCCTATACAATTCTTTATTCTTTTCCAAATGTTTCCTCAGTGATGTTTAATGGAGAAAGGACATTTTCACAGTAATTCCTGTAATATTTTTTCTTCTGGTGAAAGTCTTATTTCTGTTAATTTGGCTGGGATAAAAGCAGTTTTACATTTTCTTGAAACCATTTTAAAGTCAATGTTAATGACCCCTTAAAGATTTTCTTCTCAGTTGTGTACAGAATAATCCACTGTTGTCTAAAAAGCTGCCTAATTAGCATATTTAAGTCTCTAAATTACACTGTAAGCTGGATACTAGTTTCTTGCAAAATAACTAGTGTGTGTGTGTTTGTGCGTGTGTGTGATCAGCTGCAGTCATGGCCGCAGAGGGTTCGCTCCAGGTTCAGCTACAGCATTTATCCCATTAGCTTCCCATCAGAGAACGCCAGAGAGTGGAGGAAACTCTTCAAACCCTGCGCTTCACAGAGACTCTTCCTGCCTGTGAGTCACTGAGTCATTCTGAGTCACTTCACATTCACCAAACCGTTCTCAATTAAATCACTGAGTCATTCTGAGTCACTTCACATTCACCAAACCGTTCTCATTTACTTCACTGAGTCATTCTGAATCACTTCATATTCACGGAGTCTTTCTCAATCAGTTCACATTTCCAAAACTTTTCTGTTGACATTCACACAAGCTTACTGATTCACTTCACATTTATACAACTGTTCTGAATCAGTTCATATTCACTGAACCCTTCTGTATCAGATCAAGTTCACTAAACCAGTCTGAATCAATTCACAGTTACACACGCGTAAATGATTCAGTTCGCATTCACACAACTGTTCTGATTCGGTTAAGTTTACATTCAAACAGCCATTCTGAATCATATTACATTCACACAGCCGTTGAGTCAGTTCACATTCACCCAGTCATTCTGAATCAGATTACATTCACACAGCTGTTCAGTCAGTTCACGTTCACACAGCCATTCTGAATCAGTTCAGATTTACTGAGCCATTCTGAATCAGTTCATGTTCACACAGCCGTTAAAGTCAGTTCACATTCACACAACCATTCTGAATCAGGTCACATTCACACAACTGGTTTGAATCAGTTCACAATCAAACAGCCATTCTGAATCAGTTCAGATTTACTGAGCCATTCTGAATCAGTTCACATTCAAACAACTGGTTTGAATTAGTTCACAATCACACAGCCATACTGAATCAGTTCAGATTTGCTGAACCATTCTGAATCAGTTCACATTCACACAAACCATACTGAATCAGTTCACATTCATCAAACCGTTCTGATTCAGCTCATATTCATCAAACCATTCTGAATCACTTCACATTCACACAACTGGTCTGATTCAGTTCAATTTCATCAAGCCGTTCTGATTTAGTTCACATTCACTCAACCATTCTGAATCACTTCACATTCACACACTTATTTTGAATCACTTCACGTTTACTAAACCCTTCTAAATCACGTTAAACTCACACAACTGGTCTGATTCAGTTCATATTTATCAAACTGTTCTGAATCACTTCACATTCGCACAACGAAGGCAGTTGTATAAATGTGAATGTTCATTAATTGCTCTCTTTAATCCTCATGCTCCACTATACTCTGCTGCGTTATTGTTTATTTCCCTTTAAAGAGACAGAACGTGTGTGTGTGTGTGTGTGTGTGTGTGTGTGTGTGTGTTCAGCTGATCCTGAAGCAGGTGGACTCAGTGCTGTATGTGGACACTGATATCCTCTTCCTGCGGCCGGTGGAGGACATCTGGAGCTTCCTGTCCTCGTTCAACCGCAGTCACGTGGCGGCGCTGGCACCTGAACACGAGGAGCCTCGCATGGGCTGGTACAACCGCTTCGCTCGACACCCATACTACGGTAAAACTGGAGTCAACTCAGGAGTGATGCTGATCAACATGACGCGCATCAGACACACACACTTCAAGGTAACACACACACACACACACACACACTAAATGAAATATTACACACATCTATAAATTCTATAGTTCAATAAATACTTTGAGCTGAATTTAGTAATGTAAAAATGTGAATGTTGATGTTGATGAAAGCATGTGTCTGTTGTATTTGAGTGTCTCCCCAGCAGATGTCACTGCTGCTCTTCTGCAGCTCGTTTACTCTGATTTCCACATTACTGAGACGGTTTTATCATTCATTTAACGACCATACATTAAACAGAGTGTGTGTGTGTGTGTGTGTGTGTGTGTGTGTGTGTGTGTGTGTGTGTGCGCGCAGAATGATCTGTCAGCGATGGACCTGAGCTGGTCTGATCTCCTGATGCCGCTGCTGAACAAATATAAGCTGAACATCACCTGGGGGGACCAGGACCTGCTCAACATCATCTTCCACTACAACCCCGGTGCGTCCCACTACTCCTGCACTCCTATAATTTGCTTAAACGCTCACTATATAGTCAGCAGTGGTGTATAATTTGCTCAAACGCTCACTATATAGTCAGCAGTGGTGTATAATTTGCTCAAACACTCACTATATAGACAGCATCAGTGTATAAACCGCTCAAACACTCACTATATAGTCAGCAACTGTGTATAAACCTCTCAAACACTCACTATATAGTCAGCAGTGGTGTATAATTTGTTTAAACGCTCACTATATAGTCAGCAGTGGTGTATAATTTGTTTAAACGCTCACTATATAGTCAGCAGTGGTGTATAATTTGTTTAAACGCTCATTATATAGTCAGCAGTGGTGTATAATTTGCTCAAACGCTCACTATATAGTCAGCAGTGGTGTATAATTTGCTTAAACGCTCACTATATAGTCAGCAGTGGTGTATAATTTGCTCAAACGCTCACTATATAGTCAGCAGTGGTGTATAATTTGCTCAAACACTCCCTATATAGACAGCAACTGTGTATAAACTGCTCAAACACTCACTATATAGTCAGCAGTGGTGTATAATCTGCTCAAACACTCACTATATAGACAGCAGCAGTGTATAATCTGTTTAAACACTCACTATACAGTCAATAGTGGTGTATAATTTGCTCAAATACTCCCTATATAGACAGCAACAGTGTATAAACTGCTCAAACTCTCCCTATATAGTCAGCAGTGGTGTATAATCTGCTCAAACTCTCCCTATATAGTCAGCAGTGGTGTATACACTGCTCAAACACTCACTATATAGACAGCAACAGTGTATAAACTGCTCAAACACTCACTATATAGTCAGCAACAGTGTATAAACTGTTTAAACTCTTCCTCTATAGTCAGCAGGGGTGTATAAACTCCTCAAACACTCACTATATAGTCATCAGGGGTGTATAAACTCCTCAAACTCTCCCTCTATAGTCAGCAGTGGTGTATACACTGCTCAAACTCTCGCTCTTCCTCCACAGAGAGTCTGCTTGTGTTCCCCTGCCACTGGAACTATCGGCCGGATCACTGTATTTATGGCAGTAACTGCGCCGCCGCTGAACAACACGGCATCTACATCCTACACGGCAATCGAGGCGTTTACCACGATGACAAGCAGCCAGCATTCAGCGCCGTTTATAACGCCATCCAGCAGGTATCAGCTACTCCACTTAGAGTCAAACTACATGTGATGTCTGATCAGTTTTCAGTCAATGTTGCAAACTGTAGAGTGTTTTACATCAAATAAAGACGACTTTTATTATAAAATGATTAAACAAATACTAATTATTAATGACACAGACTACTGAATAATTATATAACTAGGGAGACCAAGACTAAATATATATTGAAACGTCTCCAAATGAAAGCATGTACTGTACTAAGGTAAGGTGAATGCCTGGTTAGCTCTTTCTGATGAACATCTCTGTCTTCTTGTCTTCATCGAGGTTATTTTTAGTTTTTCTTGCGTCTGAAGGTGTGCTCTGTCTCCTGCGGCGAGTGTTTAATATGTGGATGCTGTGATTTCATTAGGCACGTTTGCATAAACTATCAAATCTAATTAGACACTGTTAATTTGGAAGCGTTCCTCAGGGTGTGTGTCGACACATTCAGCATGAGGCTTTTAACCTGACGCACAGTGTGTGACCGCGCACACACCTGCTCTGATGTGCCAGATCCACACCTGCTCTAATGATCTCAATCCACACCTGTTCTTATAATCCAGATCCACACCAGTTCTGATTTATTCTGATGATCCGGATCCACACCCGTTTTAATTATTTGGATCCACACCTGATCCATATCTACACCTATTCAAATCTGTTCTGGTGATCCAGATTCAAACCTTTTCTGACGGTTCGGATCTGCACCTGTTTGGATGAAATATATACACACCTGTTCTGACGATTCTAAACCTCTAATCTAAACCTGTTCTAATGATCTAGATCCACACCTGTTCTAATTATTCAGATCAACACCTGTTCTAATTATTCAGATCAACACCTTTCTGATTGATTTTGATGATCTGGATTGGTTTGTGTTCTGATGGATCTGGATCCACACCTGTTCTGATGATCTGGATCTGCACCTGTTATGATGATCTGGATCGGTTTATGTTCTGATGATCTGAATCTGCACCTGTTCTGATGATCTGGAACTGCACCTGTTCTGATGATCTAGATCTACACCTTTTCTGATGATCTGGATCTGCACCTGTTCTGATGATCTGGATCGGTTTGTGTTCTGATGATCTGGATCTACACCTGTTCCTATGATCTGGATCT